AAGCCTGCTTCTCCCTCTCCCACTCCCTCTGCTTGTGTTCCATCTCTCACTGTCTCTCTCTCTGTCAAATAAATAAATAAATAAAATCTTAAAAAAAAAAAAAGACTAAAGAGAAGTGACAACTAAATGCTTTGCAGGATCCGTGATAGGATTCTGAATTTTTAAAAAAGGCTATAAAGGACATTATTGACACAATTTAGGAAATTTGCATATGAGTTGTATATTAGATAATATTATAAATTAATGCTAAATGTTCTTAATGTGATAATTGATTTGTGGGAAGATGCCTTTGTTTGGGGGAAAAACAAGGTGAAATATTTAGGGTAAGTTGCCTTGATATCAGCCACAAATCTCAAATGGCTTAACCAAAGCCAAAAAGTTTGTGTGTAACAGTATATAGATAGGAAACGAAGTGGGGCAAAATATTACGATCGGTGAACCCAGGTGAAAGATACATGGCATTTGCATTACTGTGTGAAACTTTCTTGAAGGTTTAAAATTTTTCAAAATAAAAACTTGGGGGAAAATGTAGAATAAAATGTAAAATACAAAAAAATGCTGTAACAAAATATAAAGTGCTTATTGACGTCAAGGAAATTAACAATGAAACCCAAGGGATAATGTAAAATGACTTTAAGAGAATACATAATTAAAGAAATTCCGTAAAGAGAAGACTGGAGCATTGACGGAAAACATAGAAGCCTCCCACAGGAATAAGTAAAACTGTCGTTATTCTCAGGTGATATGATTACATATGTACAAATCCAAAAGAATTCACGAACTTTTGGAATTTGCAAGTGAGTTTAGTGAGTTTGCTGAAACCAAAGTCAATATGCAAAAGTCAACTGTATTTCCACCTAAAGAAAGAAAGAAAGAAAATTTAAAGAAAGTCTAAAGGCTGCAGGGGTGGCTGTGCCTATCATCTCTCCTCTTAATTAGCTGACTTGCTTCTATAGAAACGAGGTGCCAAGTGGGAAAAGACTATACACTACTGGTAGCCCCATCAGTAAGTAGCCCCAGCTGCACGTGCCGTGCTAGGCGTGGGGGTGTTGCTGGAGCACATTCATCAGGCCTCATGACTCTGACCTGCGGGAGCAGGCAGGGCTACTGTTCCACAGTGGGGGAGGCAGGACACATGTGCATGGAGCTTGGATGGTACGCTTTGAGGCCTCTTGGTATGCCTTACCTAACTGTAACTGTGGATGGACTGTGCCTCAGCCCTGGCCCGAGGAAGGCACGGTTTCTAGAGGCTCACACGTCTTAGGAAGGAGGGCTTGAGATGCACCACTACTAGGACATCCAGAAGCGATGGCCGAGCGTGAGTGGAATTTCAGTCATGGAGAAGGGAGGTAATGAGTACCAGGTGTGGCCCTGAGACTACTGGCAGCGACAGGAGTTGCAGTTTGCCCCACTAAGCTCACCCAGAATTCTAAGTCTCCCCTGAGGAAGAGAGATGCGCAGGAACCACTGAAGAGCTACTTCCCAAACGTGTGGGGAAGTGGATCCGTGCGGCACAAGGGGCCGACCATGGCAGCCGAGGGGGTGTGCTGCTCAGCTCCCCTTCAAGAGGGAGCCTGTGGTGAGGAGTGCAGTCCGCTGACAGCCTCCAGCTACAGCGTCTTCAAGATCCACAGCCGCATTCGAGCTGGGTATGTGCTCCCTGGGCACTCCCAGTCAGGGAGGGAAGTCAGTAGGGCCACCCAGGGCCCTGTCATCTCTGCCTGCGGTTCTGTATGCGCACCCGTGGGTCCCCAGCGTACTGGCAGAGACTTTCCACAGAGCTGCGTCTCAGTCTGAGGCTCTTCCCGCTCAGATCTCCTCTCTGGCTCTTCTCTTTTCGTATGTGTCAGACCCGGAAGATTTTCCTGACAAGTCCTGCTTCCTTGCTCCTTTATCTTCCACAGGGGCTACCCCTAGTCCATCGCTTGCGCGCCCGGCGATCTTGGTGTTAGATCTACCTTGGGACTCGATCTAGAGACCCAGGGGACCCGAGCTGACACAGCCTCAATTGTGACGCCACAGAAATGCGGCAGTTACCAGGAACCTCACACATAGGTAGTCACTGTTGCATTCCGGAAGGTGTCACTTATTTCTAGATCTCTCCTCCTCATTATGGAAACCTAACTTACAGGCAACGAAGAAGAGTGGAGTATATCAAAGAAGAAAGTCTTAATTTTCTATTATTTTATATTTGGAAAACTTGTAACACAGGTATGGGTGGTTTTCTCCTTCCTCTCTTGAACATACATACCCACTCCAAAAAGAAAAGAGGACAAGTACTGTCTGAGCTTGCGCACAAGTGGTGTGCTGGGGGGTACCGATCTGTGTTGTGAAAGATCTGATTAGCTGTCCCTTAGAAGCCAGCCACAGAGACCTCTATACTCCCTCGTTTTTGCCAGCTTCTGGGAACCAACTTCAGTATTATCCAGCCAGAACTCACAGACTCAGTGATATTTTTAGGAGGAAAAAGTACTTAATAACAAGACCCTGCTTTTTTAAATAGCATTTTAATTAATGATGAACTCAGAAAGGAAGATTTTACAATTAATTTTCCTCTCAACATCCCTCTCAGTTGTCATGAAACAGCCATAGCAAAATTATTCTCTCTCCTGTATGGAACAAAAACCAAAATACAAAGTTTAATAAGTCTTAGGAAGGCCACAGGGACAGAATGGGAAGTGAATAATAAAAGTCAAATTTCTTCCAGTTCAGTACATTGGCCTCCAAGTGAACATCTCATGGTACCAGCATGTTACAAAGAGACCCTTGAGGTTCCAGATTTCCTCACTTCCCTTGGCCAATGTCTGGTTACAAATGTGTGTGTGTGTGTGTGTGCACGTGCGCGGCGGGGGGTGGGGGTGGTGTGTGTGCTGGCTACTGATAAACTTGATGAGAAAGGAAGATGGCTGGTTGGAAGGTAAGTTCCTACCTGACAGTTTGGTGATTTGTCAAGGTGACACAATCTGACGTAGACAGAGCTGAGGTCTCCTGACTGAACACGGTGCTTTGGCTACTGCCTCTGTTCTAGCTACGTCTGTGTGCTTCTGAGTTGACTCTTTGTGTTCCTGGCTGCCGCCAGGCCCCCACCCATGATTCCACAGGATCTTGACTAACCTGGTCTTCAGCCAGAGGTCTGATTTATCCACTTACTTCTTAACACTTGCTGTATGTGATTTTTTCCAAATGGCTTTGATTTTACCAGCCCTAATATTCTCTGCGAAAGAAGGGTACATTTTTCTAGTAAAAATGTTTTGGTGTACATCATCTTTTATTATAGCCCCCCAAATATATATAAATTAAAACAGTAAAGAATGATTCCTTCGTATTTTAAGACACTAAGTCTCCAAAATTAAGGAACCTATTGTGCTTTGCTCTCTCATTTCAAACATTAAAACACACGAAGTAAAACTGCCAACTTCATTTTCAATTTGAAGCATAAATTTAGTAGAATAAATAAAACACTTTCAGAAATCTCAAGTCAGGAATTAACAGGCTAGAGGCTGAACTAATCATCTTGACATGGTTTGATTATCACTTGGCTTATTCTTTTCACTCCGTTACCTTTTTATCAACACACCGAAACGGAACGCAAATTCTACCGTTAGAGTAGGTACGATAGAGCTGCTAAGAGAAGAAACACTTCCAATGATTCTCTATACCCCTGGACATTCGTCCTGCTTTACAGTGTTAATCTCTCATGTCTTGAGCCTCTTACTGAGCAGGGAATGTTTATCTGTGCACAGTCCGTTCCTCTTTGGGCTGGGATTTTCCCTGGGGTCCGAGGTGCCGTCACTGAGCAGTTCTGAGTGTGCTTCGTTCGGCAACTGCAAGACAGACGCATAGACTGCAGCGGGCCAGGACTCCCTGCCCCCCCGGCCCCCCCCGCACCCCCCAGCCTCCGCGGGGCTGACTCAGCGGGCCAGTGGGGCAGCTCAACCCCACACAACACCACAGTGCTGTGCCGTCCTCCCGAACCCTGGCTACTCTCTTCCATAGACATCTGAAATGCAACGTCAACATAAAATCCGGGACTCCCAGCCAAAATTTCAGGAACATGTGTGCTAACTCCAATGTGCGATTTCCCATGAACTCCCTTCTTCTGTAAGCTCCTTGTCAATGCGTGCTCAGTTCTCAGCTATGATTCTGTCCGGGACGTGATAAGCGAATCTCAAACTACAGATAAGAATTGATTTCTAGAATTGGTTTGTGTTCCACCAAGAGACAGAAGCAGTCCTGTTAGAAAACGATTTGCTCTCAAAGAGCCTAATGTTTTTGCACCAGGAAAAGGGCTTTGCTGACTGCTCCGTACGTGCAGGCAGGCTCGAGGCACTGAGTGTTCCTTTATGCATCAGAGTCATAAACAAATAGCAAATTATGCAACAAAGCCTCTTGAGTGTTCGCCTTTCTGTTTCCTGAGCCGGGGAGTGCTTTCTCACACCCTGGGCAGCTCGGGGAGAGAATGGAAAGGCCCTCTGCTGGAAGCACATCAAATGCAGAAACTAGGCCACTCGGTGCCAGAGGGTTCCCAGGCCCCGGCGGCCATCTGAGACCGAACCCGGGCCTTCTGGAGCCACACTGCTAAGGATTCTGCTGATTTTAAAGAGTGATGTGTGGGAATCCGAGCCAGTGTCAGGTGGCCCTCAGACAGGAAGGAGCTGAGGACATTTGTTATCATTTCTCTCTATATTTTGCCGGTTTCCTTGGCAGGCCTGAGGGTTTTGGGGGGCAGTATGGGAATGATCCTGTAAGAATGGCTCTTTGACTTTATTTCTTTCAAACGGTATGACACTTGCTTTGAAATGTAATCGTGCACTCAAAATTGCCACAATAAGCCAACCTCAGCAAAGGTGGATTTTATTCTAAAGGTTATTGTACAACTTTTTAAAATTTGCCTTGGAAAATTGACTAAAAGTCAATTTTCCAAAGTTTTAAACTTTTCCCCTAAAAATAGAGTAGCAGATTCTTTCTTACCTTTGCTCTGCATGGAGCATTCTCAGAGATCATACTCTCACTTTGGACTCCGATGGCTTCTTCTAAAACTACATCAAGGAAGATACAATGGAGAAGACAGAATAACATAAAAATCTTAAAAAAAAAAACCTTTCTGGTATCTTTAGAAATACCTTTAATGAAGAACTGAGAAGTAAATGTAATGTGTTTAAAACATGTCCCTATTAGAATTGCTGCTTTTAACTACTGGGTATTTACCCCAAAGATACAAAAGTAGGGATCTGAAAGGGTACGTGCACCCCGATGTTTATAGCAGCAATGTCCACAATCGCCAAACTGTGGAAAGAGCCAAGATGTCCATCGACAGATGAATGGATAAAGAAGAAGTGGTATATATATACAATGGAATATTATGCAGCCATCAAAAGGAATGAGATCTTGCCATTTGCAACGACGTGGATGGAACTGGAGGGTATTATGTTGAGCGAAATAAGTCAAACAGAGAAAGACATGTATCATATGATCTCACTGATATGAGGAATTCTTAATCGCAGGAAACAAACTGAGGGTTGCTGGAGTGGGGGGTGGGGTGGGAGGGATGGGGTGGCTGGGTGATAGACACTGGGGAGGGTATGTGCTCTGGTAAGCGCTGTGAATTGTGCAAGACTGTTGAATCTCAGATCTGTACCTCTGAAACAAATAATGCAATATATGTTAAGAAAAAAAAGAAGAAGAAGAAGAAGAAGGTAGCAGGAGGGGAAGAATGAAGCAGGGGAAATCGGAGCGGTAGACGAACCATGAGAGACAATGGACTCTGAAAAACAAACTGAGGGTTCTAGAGGGGAGGGGGGTGGGAGGATGGGTTAGCCTGGTGGTGGGTATTGAGGAGGGCACATTCTGCATGGAGCACTGGGTGTTATGCACAAACAATGAATCATGGAACACTACATCTAAAACTAATGATGTAATGTAGGGGATTAACATAAGAATAAAAAAAAAAAGAATTGCTGCTTTCACACTTTTATTGCCACATTTCATCATTGTCATTTACAAGGGGCACTGAACCTGGGTTAGGTATGCCTCGTTCCCTTTATTCAAAGGAAATTCTTCGGCCCACCGTTATTAATGCCCAAGCTCTGAGATGCCTTTGAAGCAATGGTGACAGACTTGCCTCATCCTATACTCTTCCTTCCACCTGGCCCTTCAGAGGACCGGAGGAAGTGCAGGTGTGTGAGGAATGCTTGCCAGGTGTGGGTGTGATCTTGATCCAAAGACAGTGACCATACTACAGATAACTTGGGCTGACTCCCAAGTTTTCCAACACTGACAATCTATTTTGTATGCTATATTGATTCCTGGCTTATCAGCCTTACCCTAACCCCCAAAAGTCTGAGAAGGGAGCAAGTGATAATCAAACCATGTCAAGATGATTAGTTCAGCCTCTAGCCTGTTAATTCCTGACTTGAGATTTCTGAAAGTGTTTTATTTATTCTACTAAATTTATGCTTCAAATTGAAAATGAAGTTGGCAGTTTTACTTCGTGTGTTTTAATGTTTGAAATGAGAGAGCAAAGCACAATAGGTTCCTTAATTTTGGAGACTTAGTGTCTTAAAATACGAAGGAATCATTCTTTACTGTTTTAATTTAAAGCTATAACTAAAGCAAAACCAAAGTATTCTAACATTTGACAGTTTGTTATGTTTTCCAACAGGGTTTTATGTCGCTAGTTTACTTTTTAAGCTCAATTTATGCTCATAACAAAAAACCAAATGAACCTAATTATATGATATAGGTAAGCAAAAGATAAATTCCTGTGACAGGGATAGTTCTGAATGACAAACAAAAAGCCTCAAAAGTTAAATGTAATAAGTGAAATATACACACAAGTCACACAATTCAGCATATAGCAAAGAACTGTTAACCCGTATCCTGTAATTTTTATTACTAATGTTTCTCAAATTTCCCTGGTAGAAGGCTAAAACCCTATACACTGAAGCATCTGTAGGCACAGTGCGAGGCAGACATGCAGTTTTTTTAAAAAGTGAAAATAGGGAAAAAATAAGGCTGTGTCAGGTCCTTAAAAACCCAGATCTGGAGCTGTGGGAGGGCAAACAGAAAATTTAGAGTTAACTAAGAGTCTACATAGGTATTACTTTTCAGCTTTTTCTAGTGCTACCTACAAAGTTACACATTCATTTCCAAGCGCCTTCCATTCTGTCATGAACAACATGCACCATCATGTATGACCGGGTGTGAGATGGAGAGGCATCTGAAATGTCTTTGAACAGACCTGTTAGAATCTCATCGAGTTTGTCCACCATAAACTTCGCATCTTCTTCCGTGAAGCACATAGGTGGTTTTATTTTAAGCACATTTCGATGAGGTCCGTCGGCACTGAGAAGGACTCGCTTTTCTTTCATCCTAATTTGGGCAGGAAATATGCGTGAATGCATACAACTGGTAACTAAGGTTACTTAAGAATGATGTGAAGAGGGGTGCCTGGGGGGCTCAGTTGGTTAGGCGTCTGCCTTCCACTCAGGTCATGGTCCCCGGGTCCTGGGGTGCATTGGGCTCCCTGATCAGAAGGGAGTCTGCTTCTCCCTCTCCTTCTGCCCCTCGTCCCGCTTGTGCTCTCTTTCTCTCTCAAATAAAGAAATAAAATCTTAAAAAAAAAAAAGAATGATGTGAACATAGACCAGTTAAGTATTCTCATGTAAGCAACCCACATTTATAAATTGCATGCATCTCCAACTTCCCTTATTTGGAGAGATGTGAAGAAATAAGAGACGCTTTCAAGGAGTGGGAGGGGCATGTTTCAAACCGGGACATCAGTCAGGTGTGGGGATGCACTTACTCGTAGATGACATGTTGAGCTTCATCTGTGGCGGGGGTCCTCTTCTGACGGTCCTTCACCAAGTCAATTCCAATAAACAGGCCAATTCCTCTGAAGAAGGTAAAGAAAGAAACTTGACAGATGCTCTATCAGACACCGCATTGTCATGAAATATTAACACTGTTCCCAAACTTCAGTTTAATTCGAAGCTGGATATGATTCCCTGTAGGGGTAACTGTTATTGATTCTAACTAATCCAAGGTATCAATCCAGTGTCACAGGTCTGTCCAGTTTTTGAACCAAGCTGGTTTTGTCATCCAGTTTTTTTCTTTACTTAATTGTAAAAGAAAAAATCTTAAAAACAATCTTTTATGCTATTTAGTTTCTCAGGACATTAATGATGATGTTTAATGTTTACATATATCTATGAAAAACATCAAGTTTTCCAGGATGTCATTTTAAATAATTTTTAACAAATCATTTAGAGTTACTTTAAGCTCCTTCTTCTCATCTTTCAGGGGCTGAAATTATATTGGCTTTATTTGTTTATTTTTTTAAGCATAAAATTGAGAAAGATATACACCCAAAAGTTAACAGTGGTGATATCAGGATTCTGGATTACGAATGAGTTTTGTTTTTTTTATGTTTTTCAGTGTTTTCTAGATTTGGTTTTATGTAATTTATTTTAAATTTGTAAGATAAAATTTAAGCTATTTTCATTGGAAAAATGAATAAGCACATGACAAGTTCATGATAAACATACCTGATGTCTCCTATCAAAGTATGTTTAGCCTTCTGTTTATTGAGTAACTCAGTAAGATAATCCCCTACTCTAGTGGCATTTCCTTGAAGGTCTTCATTTTCAATTATATTCAGGACAGCCAAACCAACAGCAGAAGATACTGGATTTCCTCCATACTACAGAAAAAAGATTGAAAAAGCGTAATAGTTGAGTTAGTGGTATTGCTTCATCCATGAGAAATTTGGCTCACACATAGGCAGGTAGAGCTATAATTTCAATAAGTTTTTCCCTTGTGCTGTAAACTTTTTAGATTCAGAATATAATGTGATTCTATTTGCTTACAACTGAGTAAAAATTCACCCTGAATTATATTCTCTATCCTGCATAATTGGTATGGAGGACTATCAGGGAATTTGTTAGTTCATCCAAACAAAAACCAGACACTGCTTTGGGAACTAAGGATTTCAGAGTGTGGTTCAGTGAGGGGGATATGGGCTTCTGCCCCTGAACAGTTGTGTGAAAACAGCTAAACAATGACATTTTCTCTGAATAATTTATGTCCTTAGATTCGAATCTTACTTTAGTTGTCACAAGTCCTATTACACATACAGCACAAACTATAATAATTTTTCCAAGCTTAAAGTTCACGACTTATGGGGGTAAAACCAAGGAAATAAAATTTCCCAAAGATAGAAAATTTAGTATCTTCTGTGACAGTCATATAACATTTATAGTTCTGTATCATCTAAACACTTTAGAAATGTTTGGGGAATTTAAATGTGATATAAAATAAAGATCATATCATCTGTGGATGAAACATCATAACCTCTAGAGTTAGCAAGGCAACCATTTATCACTGGAACAATTAGTCATTTTAGAAAGGGGAAAGATACACAAGGAAAAATACAAGGAGAATTATGCCAGATAGAATGAAATATGGTTAGATCAAAATTTGGCTTAGGTCCTGGGGTGGTTAGCTGGCAATCACTTTATTCTTTATTCTTTACTACATTGGCAAGAAGTGTAAGAACACACAGTATTTTTCCCTGTAAGCATAAACTGGGAGGCCAACATTTACCGTATTGAAATATTCCATCCCAGAACTGCTGAAGGCTTCTGCGATTTCTTTGGTTGTTACCACGCATGCCATTGGGTGGCCATTGCCCATTGGTTTTCCCATTGTGACGATGTCTGGAACAAAGTCTTCACCATGCATTTGGAAGCTCCAGAAATGTTTCCCAACTCGGCCAAAGCCCACCTGAACTTCATCAGCTATAAACACACCTCCTGCTCTGTGTACGTATCTGAAAAGCAAAAGGGAAGTCTAACGTCTTCAGGTCACTGAGAGTCCCCAAACCCACCCACAAAGATACAGATTATGGAGGACTTTAAAAAATGTTGTTAATTTGAGGTCTGGAATCGTCAAAAACAGTTCTGTGCTCAAACCCCCAGTGACATCTATGTGATGTCACTGACTTTGAAATATAATCACATACTTTCCAGAGTAGACATATTCTTATTATTCAGGTTTGTGCTGCTTCAAGTAAGCTCTACTGTGGCATTTTAAGTGGGAAGAGAAAGACGTGAACAAGAAGTAGTGTTTAGCAGGGTTAATCTTCAAATGTTTACTCATTGGTAAGGCATGGGCACCAGCCAGAGAAAATGTCAGGCTGGGAACTGGGGCAGAGCCCCGGATGCCCCCCCTCGGTGGACCATGTGTAAACCCTTTATTTGCTGGATCTTGGGAAGGTGGAGGGGTTCGGGGGGTCCTGGCATGGCAGGCATGCTGAAGTGGCTATTTACCAGCTAGTCTGGAAGTACTTCAATATTTTAACCAGTATGGCCTTGCAGAACTGTCACAGAGCCTTCAGTTTGACCCAGAGTGCCCAAGTCAAGTACATACTCTGCCACTTTCTGGAAGTAGCCTGCTGGAGGAATTATTTGTCCGCCACAACTCTGCATGGATTCAGCAATAAAGGCAGCAATCTATACAAGAGAAGATGGGGTCAAAGTCCATTAGGTGCCCCTTGAGCCCCCTAAAAAAGAGGACTTCTTACAGAGCAGGTTATTTTCAAAATGGTTGGGAATGGGCCTGTGGAAGGTGGCAAGTCGCAAGTAGGCCACTTGGTGACAAAGATGAGAAGAGATGTCCGTGCTAGAAGAGCAACTGATCTGAAATTCATCCGTTTCTGAAATTCTAGAGTACCAGTGACACTACCATGAGAAATGGAAGAGAGAGCAACCTCCGGTTCTCCATTATTAATTCAAATGCAGTGTTTTCATTAGGATCAACTGAGCAAGAACGCTGATCAGTCTTTGACATCAACTTCTAAAAAAATTACCCAGGTTCTAACCCCATTACCGAGGTGCCTGTTCCCCCAGTTGGGTGATGAGGACTGCCTGAGCCTGGAATTTGCTCTCGGGAAAGGGGAGGGTGACTGGTGGCCACACAGGTTAGTTACTGTGCTGTATTTCTAATTCTTACCCTGAACCGGACTTAACGGAATCAGGCAATTCACAAGAGGAATTGCAGAGGGAATGCTCTAGAGTAGAAGATAGGTAACACTAAATCAAGAAGAGAAAGCATAGACAAGATGAGATATGAAGTCAAGAGAACTGAAGTTTCCGTCCAGACTACATCTCAGTAACTAGATTACCTTGGCTTAAGTTCTTCACTTTTAAATATTTCATTTATTAGCTATAAAATGAAGCCACTGGACCTAAGAGATTGCTTCTCTAAAATCCCCTGACTTTTCAAGCACATCTTATATTCTGAAACTTCCATCTTATATTTGCTCATTGCTTTCAGCATTGTTAACAGGACAGCATCGGGTCCATAACTACTGAATGTTAATGTTCTCAAAAAGTTCTCCGAACCCTTTTGGCAGCAAAAAGACCATGTGATCTTGGTAATGTAAACTTTTTTCTGGAAGCACTCTTTACCGTTTGTGTAAGGAGGGATGGGCTACCCTTGAAAAAGAAAAGCATATGAAGGTCTCCAGAACAGGTAGCGCTTAGGGCTAGTTGCACAGATGTCACATCTGAAGATACAAAAAATGATTGGGATGGGAAGAAAACATCCTGTTAAGAAACGCAAATGACTCTCCAATCACTAAGATAAAAGTATTTGCATTGGAAAAAGGAAAGGCTTCATTTTTATCTCAATTAAGATTTTTTTGGGGGCGCCTGGGTGGCCCAGATGGTTAAGCATCTGCCTTCGGCTCAGGTCATGATCCCGGGGTCCTGGGATCGGGCCCCACATCGGGCTCCTGGCTCGGCGGGGAGCCTGCTTCTCCCTCTCCCTCTGCCTCTGCCCCTGCTCATGCGCTCTCTCTCTCTCTCTCTCTGTATCTCTGTGTCTCAAATGAATAAATAAAATCTTTAAAAAAAAAGTTTAAGATTTTTTTTTATTTTATTGCCCTGTTGATGCTATAAGCCAGTTTAAAGGCAAAGCATGTGTCAAATCACGTTAAAACTCCACATAAGTAACCCCTAAACGGGCTGAAAATTTATGTTAGGCTGAAGAGAGTAGGGTGAAGACCGAGAAAATGGAAACTCTTTTTTCTTACTCTGGAGGATTCTGGTTCTGTCTTCGAAGCCCAGGCTCAGGTTGGAGAAACACCTGCCTTGGCTAACCCAGGCTCTGCAGCTTTGGGTAAGTTGTACCAGTTCGAGGGAAGCAGCATGGCTTCCTGGGCCCGGGAGCCTGCACTGGCTCAGAGGTCCCAGGGCCACTGTGCCTCTTCCCTTCCCTTCCTCATATATCAGCCCACCCCCCAATGCTACTTGCATTTGGAAGAGTCTGTCCATGGGTCTTTTCTAATCCCCACTCCCCATCCCCCTTTGGGCCAGAGTCAGCAACCCACTGGGAAAGTGAGAAATTAGGCCACCAGTTCTGAAACAGGCATAATGACTGCATTTTCAGAATAAATAAAAATAGTCTTAGAGGTATGATCATAATAACGCACTTTTTGAAATATGAATCTAATGAAAAGCAAGCAGAGAAAAACAGAACGGGGATGGAGATCTAATCCTTTTCCACCTCTCCAATGTGTCACAGTGATTTCCATCCACTTTATAAAAGATGTTACACTGTTTCCAAAGCTGTAAATACACACCTTCCTTCCACTGTTATGAGCTTCTTCAATAATTTCCTTTACTTCCTCTGCATAAGCGCTGGCTGGGTCTGCATGATCTTCTCTGTATTTGCCTCTGTAAGTATCTGGAGTTGGTGCCTGGAAACAACCAAAAGGTAGAGTTTCTCAAGATTTACCTCTCAGACAAATGAACTTAAAACAAACAAACAAACAACAACAACAACAACAACAAAACGGCATTTCCCCACAAGAGCATACTGGAAAGGTGACCATGTAGGTTTAAGTGACTCTAGTTCTTTTGTTCTTTTTCCTTAACATTTCTGAATTCTGTGAAAACTAAGATCTTTGCATTTGTGAACAGGAGCTTGGATTTGCTCCTAGACCTTTATAAGTCAAGACTACATCCTTATTTGAATCAAGAGCAAATTCACATGACAAGTGTGATTATTGTATTTGAAAATTTCAATGGATGAAAATTGTATTAACTATTCTATACTGAAAATAAACCAACACTTACAAACTATATAGAAAATTGTAATCATTCTGAAAACTAGAATGCCTTAGCACAGATATCAGGTCTTACCATTTTGAAAGAAGGAATTGATGATTCGCTTAAGAAAGTCTACTGATCCTTAATTAAACCAAAGGGGTTTTAATATTTCAACAACAACTTGATTGGTTTCTTTATTTTCTTCACTATTTATTTTACTTCATAACTCTACATAATACTTTAGCATAGAGCAGTATAATTTTGAGACATTCATACACACTAGATTCAACTCCAAATTGAAGCTAGCATCAGTAGATAGGAAAAGTAATTAAAGACCAAAAGGCAAGAAAAATAAACTGATAGCTGTGAATAATAGCCTTCACTACCACCACACTAATTTGCTAATTGTGATACTCATCGATGGATTTTAAGCCACATCCTGTCATTAACCAGCTTTTTGACTTTAGTAAGTCAAAGTAACTGCTCTAGATTTTAGTTTCTTTTTCGTAGTTTCATTTTGATGAAAGGATTGGACTGGATTATCATTAGGCATTCTTCCAGTACCAGCTTTCTGATTCTTGGATTCTTAAAGATACTTACCACATGCACAAATGCTTTCTTGACATCTTTGCCCTTTCGGAATTTATATGGACTGATTTCAATTAAAGATGATAGGTGACCATGATAAGCACTGGAAAGAAAAAGAACAGGAACCAAAATCACTCAGAGAAGGAAGTTTTTGTAGTATATGAAAAACAGCAGTGTACAGCATCTAGGAGAATCTCAACCTTAGTGCCAGACTTAACTATACAAGATCTAATTCTTCATGGCAAGACTGGCCATTTAATTTGTCCAGTTCTCCTTATTCATGTGATAAAACACATAGGAAACAAAATATGGATCCTCATAGACAATTTTTTTAAGCAGGAAAAGAAAACTTAATTTCTTAGGATGATATTAGATGTGCTAAATTAGATTGTCTAAATGCAAAAATTATTTTCTATAGCTTTATGGAAAACTTGCCAAGTAAGTATTCTTTAAATGTATTCGACAGTTACATTCTAGTGAATTTTAAAACAACTTTATATCACAGAATGGGCTGTGTTTCTGTCTGGAACAGTTTCTATGGGATGTCGGATTGCATATGCTGGGCAAATACAAGTTGGTAAGGGCAGGAGGTCTCCTCAGGAAGAACTAAGATTGAGAGATGACCAAGTGGCTATGAGATTCTTTTCGCTTGCTTAAAATACAGGTGGCTATAATATTCCCTTTTCTGTTTCTTGCCCAGAGGCATAAGTGGGAGATCTGGAAAAGAAATTTTAAAAAGCCCACGAATAGATAAAACAGAGAGAGAGGACTTCCCTTAGCAAGACTAAAGATGCACCACAGTAAGTATCAGAATGATACGTATGTATCAGTAAGTATCTATCAGCATGAGAACAAAGAGAAGACTGGGACAGAAGGCCAGCTCAGAGACACCTCCATACATAGATTTAACACAGTGGACACCAGGTGGATTTCATATGAGGTAGTAGAAGAAAATAGAGAAAACATCTTTGCGATCTGGGGGGTGTGGTGGGTGTAGGGGGAGAGATATTAACAAAACTTACATCACATAAACCATATGATGAAAATTTTATCTATTTGATTTGATGAAAATTAAAGATTTTGGTTGAAGGATACCATGGACAAAGCTAAAAGATAGATGATAGTGTGGGAAAAGATATTTAAAATGTTTCAAACTACAAAAGATTAATGCTCACAATGGTGGTTCTCAACTCTGCCTGCATAGTAGAATCACTTGGGAAACTTAAAAATATATACTGTTTCCGGGGATCCACCACTGATTTTCTTTTTTCTTTTTTTTTTTTTTAAAGATTTTATTTATTTATTTGACAGAGAGAGACACAGCGAGAGAGGGAACACAAGCAGGGGGAGTGGGAGAGGGAGAAGCAGGCTTCCCACGGAGCAGGGAGCCCGATGCGGGGCTCGATCCAAGGACCCTGGGATCATGACCTGAGCCGAAGGCAGACGCTTAACCGCTGAGCCACCCAGGTGCCCCCACCACCGATTTTCTTTAACTGGTCTGGGGTGGGGCCTGGGCATTGGCATTTAAATAAATTTTTCCCAGATAATTTTAAGACACAGTCAAGGTTGAGATCTTTTGATCTAGACTATATAAGCAAACACAAACCAACAAGAAATAGGTGGGAATCCCAATAGAAAAATGGGCAAGGAATACACATTCTAGTCCTGGGAACCTAGGACTATGTTACAGGGCAAAGGAGCCCTTGCAGGTGTGATTAAATTAAGAATCTTGAGATGGAGAGATAATCCTGGGGGTCCAGTGGAATCACAAGAGTCTTTACAAGTGAAAGGAGGAGGCAGGGGGATGGTGGTCAGAGGCAGAGGAAGCGAGGTGAGGATGGGGGCCACGGCAGGACCGGCAGAATGGCTGCTTTGATGATGAAGGGGGGACCCCGAGCAAGGAATGCGGGCAGCCTCTACAAGCCGGGCAAAGCAAGCAAACAGAAGAAGCCTCCAGAAGGAGCACAGTCCTGCTGACACCTTGGTTTTGGCCCGGTGAAGACCCATTTGGATTTCTGACCTACAGAACTGTGAGGAAATAAATTTGCGTTGCTTAAGCCACTATGTTTGTGGTAATTCAGCCACTACGTTTGTGGTAATTTGTTACAGCAGCAGTAGAAAATGAAGAGATGATCCGACACATAAAACAAGAGAAGCCTATACAAGGGCAAGAAATGAGGTATGTGTTCAATTTAATCCTCTGTGACTGAGATGAGTGGGGTGGAGAGGTAGAAAAAAAATTAAAAGAAAAAATCTTAATAAAGATGGGGGTTGTCAGCTTTCTTGTTTAAAATGTACTAAATTCATGTTAAGGAGATGAGACTAAATAATGGCTGGTAATAGTCTCAGACTAACAAGAAAGTATTATCTTTTTCTTGGTTTCTTATTTTCTTTAAAATTTGCTCTAAATTATTATCTTTTAAAATGATTACAGTGGGTAGTCACAATAGTGATGTGAACGTAGAGAGTTTGAAGAAATCAATTATATTTTTATTTTGGAAAATACTGAGTTACTCATTAGAGTGGCTCAATAAATAATGATTCAGGCAAAGCCCATGAGGCCATGACAGAGCATCCAAGAGAGCCTCCCCCGTTTGCAGGAACTTGGACGGAATTACGTATCCTTCAGGCCTCAGCTGACCTTGATACCTTACTACATAATAATATCATTGTGCCATATATCCGCCCTCCTCCCCGTGTGCTTGTAGTATTAGTATGGACAGGATCAACACAATTTTGTCTCTTGAAAGAGATTCTTGCTTAGAAGTCTTGCATCCCAAACTTACTGGTCAAGGGTAATCACATCTTGGTGGCCTCTGAATTGCCGAGCCAAACGTAAGGCTAAGTCATTGGCTTCAGATCTATTAAGAGATCACAGAGAGAGGGGATAAGGTGACATAAGCTCTTTTAAAAATATTTCAAAATCTTAATTACAAAAGTTCTAAGATCCCAGTTTTTCAGAAATGTATGGGGGAAATAAGTGCAAGTCCTCTCTTTCCCCTTTAGTCTCCCCTCCCGCCCCAGCAATCTCACTTCATCCTTCTAATACAAGTTCCCCAGATGTCTTCAATAAAGAATGAGACACACAGAAGAAACCCAATGCAAAGGATACGCTGCTCATTTCAAACTTCTGCCCAATTCAGCTACAGGAGTAGGTGACTAACTTGGAGGATGTTAGGAAGCCCGCATTAAGCCTGATCTCAAAGGGAGGAAGGGGAGCGCGAGAGCCCATCAACTTGACCACTAAACTATGTTGTCCTGACTCAATATTTGATCAGCTCCTTACCGACAAAAATAAAGATCATAATTTTTCTATCTGGCTTAGATAGTCTATATATACAACTCAGACACAGAAGAAGAAAATGATCATTTGTGGGATGTTTACTATCTGTCAGACATCATGCTGAGGGTTTTGCTTGCATTTATTCTCGTAACTCCTTTGCAAGGCAAGGGTTGCCATTTCCTTCATATGGATGAAGAAAGAGCCTCAGAGAGGTTAAGGAGGCAGAATAAGTTCTCGCAGCTAATAAGAGGTAGAGCCAGCATTCAGACTGATGTCTATTTGACTTCAAGATTACTCTTTGTCCTAACCCAGGCTCTATCACCTTCAGTCTCTGGTGACAGCGCTCCTTGGGGCAATCCCTCTTTGACAGTATAGGATTCTTTAGAAGTGAAAGTCAAATATTATGGCATTTATTTATTGAAGGCAAAAATGCTTTATAACAATAAGTTAGATCCTAAAATACCTTAATTCTTTACAAAGAAAAAGGACGATCTTCTGCTTATAAATTTGGTTTTAAAATCTCATTGCAAAGATGAAAGTGAATCACAGAATCATATAATCGAACATTTACAGAATTTCTAATAGTTTTAATACATTTCTACATATACCTAATTTTAAAAATATGAGTGTACACTGTATGCACAGCTTTTCTCCCAATATAACGTTGCATTGCAAGCTTTTCATGTCATTAGATGTGTATTTCCAAAAAACTTATTTTTAATGTCTGCATAATATTCCCCAGAATAGATATATAACTTGAATTTACAGAATGTAAAAGTTGGGACATATCTATTCTTTTGAATTTACTCCTTCCTTTTTCGTATTTGTGTTGAGGACATTGCCCAAGAAACAAGTCAATCAAAAGTCTTACAAAAGTTATAGCTTGTTTAGTAGAATTCTTTCTTTGCTAATACCCCTCATTCATGCCTTAAAGAAACTATGTATGCCCATTGATTCTTTAGCTACTTACTCTACTTCCTGAGGAGGTGAGAGCTATTTGATGGGTTAGGTTTTCTCACATGAACCTAACCTTCAGGGATACTAAAGCATGCTAGGTAAGCTTTCCCCATCTTTCACCAAGGAAGCCATGGTAATAAGAAGTTGAGTTGCATGCACATGTTAATCATCAGCGGCTGGGTCAAAACCCCTAGAAAACGCTGTTGGGTATCCTATCGACCACAAGCTCATGAAGTGAAGCCGAAGAACCAGAACCATCAGGGCCCCATCGTGTGGTCACTTAGTACATGGCAAAAATCTCAGGAAACCTTAGATGTCTGGGCTCCCCCAGGAATCAAGAAGAAAGGTATGCGTGAGAGAGTAAAAAAAAACAGATTGGTGGGAATGGGGGTGGGGGGGAAACCTGGAAACATACCCTGAATTTGTAAAATAGCAAACAGAGAGTTTCTCCGGCAGAGTTGCTGCAAGGCGTCTGGCGTACTCCACAATATTATCGTGGAGGAATCGAGAATTTGTGTTTAGCAGTTCCATCTGTTTCAGGGCAGCCTTGACCACTTCTGGGTGGCAGTGTCCCACTAAGATTCAGAAGACAAAAACCCAAAAAAGGAATTACAATTCTAAATTCCCGGAGTGATGGGGATTCTGAAGCAAGGGGGAAAAAAAAAAAAAAGGCTGAGCTGCTTTCTCTCCCACGCTGCGCTGTAACTTTTCCGGGCTAGGACTACTGGCCCATCCAGCCAAGGAACAGCAGCTACTGCACCTCCTGGGGCAAATATCAGTGGCGCCGTGTCTGCCCTACTCCACAAATGTACCCTTCCCAGCACTACAGAGACAGGACATTTACCGTGGGCAACGTTGTTGATGCAGTCGAGGTACTGTTCACCTGTCTCGTCAAACATGTACTGCCGCTGGGCTCGCACTATTTTGATGGGATCCGCAGCAAAGAAAACTTTGCATGAGGGCCTAGAAATAATGAAAGGAAACACTTTGGTCTGGAAGGACTGCTCAGTGTTTTTCCTTCTCAAGGAGGGTCATGATCAGTGGAAAATTACAGTTACATAAAGGAAAGGGAAAACACAACCTGGGTGACATACGTTATTATTATTTTTTAATTTCATATTAGCCTGGAACCTTTTACCTTAACCCCCATTGGTGACACTGCTCACATTTCATATGTTTGTTATATTAAATTTGCCATGATTTGACAACTCTGTTTAGAGGCACATGAATCAACTCTGACAACTCTAATTACACAAACCAATAACTAATTTTCTTCTGGGAAGTTTTGTTCTACCAGAAAACAAAACAAACAAACAAACTTTTTTTTTCGAGGTTTACTATGTGTCAGGAACTGACAAATATTACAAAATCATTTCATTTAGTCCTCCCAATAATCTTATGAAACAGGGGTTATTATCATTCTCATTTTTATAGGTGAGGAAACTGAGACACAGAAAAATCAAGAAACTTGTTCAAGATTACACAGCCAGTAAATGAAAAAAACAGAATTTGAAAATAGACGGTCCTATACCACAGCCCAAGACAGTGCTTGCTTGCTTGCTTCCTCTCTCTCCCCTTCTAATCTAATTGATAAAGAAATGAATAGCACTGAAAGCTAAATACAAATAAATGGGTAATAAATACTACAAAAGATTTTATAGGAGACCATTTTCAAGTCTTTTGAGTGGTATTTGTCCTGTATCAAATGGATTTTCCATTCTCAAATAATGAAATCCAATTATTCTTCTAACCTCTTAATCCATTACTTTGAACATAATAAAAAGTCATCCATATTTTTCGTTATTTGGATGAATGTCTGGAATATAAATTTTAGCGACATAGAAACATCACAAAGTTTTCTGATGTTGGCCCTATGGACACGTAGAAACTAAAATGGAATATATTATTATTATTTAAAGATTTTATTTATTTGTGAGAGAGAGAGAGCACAAGTAGGGGGAGCGGCAGGGAGAGGGAGAAGCAGGCTCCCCACTGAGCAAGGAGCCTAATGAGGAGCTCGATCCCAGGACCCTAGGATCATGACCTGAGCGGAAGGCAGATGCCTAACCCACTGAGCCACCCAGGCATCCCTGGAATATATTATTTTTATTTTGGTGATTTTGCATGCACACACACAAAAAATGCCACATGCATTGGAGTTATTTTGGAAGGTAACTGGATGCTTGTATATTAAATTGATATGCAACTGTTTAGAAAGTATTTTGTGTATAGGTAATCTTAATTTAAAATTGCCTCAGATTAAGCATCATCAGTTAAAATGAAAACAATATTTAGTGAGAATTTCTTATTGGCTCAATCCCAGCTGTTAGTTTATACCCCTGAGTTAAAAGCCAAAGAAAACCTTTGTCATGAATGTGGGCTGTTAACTGCAGACTTCACCTTCCCTTGTTAATGGTACTTTCCACCTTGCCACTCAGACTTCAGGTAAAATTCTTTCAGGCTGTCCATGGCTACATTCCTCCTTTCACAGAATTTCTTCAGTTCACGTTAGAAGTCATTGGGTTTGCATTGGAATCTAACTACATCGGATTGAAAACTAAGAGAAAGGAGTGGTGATTAGAAAAGAACAAGGGGGTGACTGGGTAATGAGGGAGGAATCGGATCATTTTGGCTTTCCCTACGTAGGGATGAGAGAGTTCCACCTGGTCTCCTAAAAGGCCATCTAGAAACCTTCCCGGTTGAGACCAGGAGATGAGCAGGAGGAGCCGCCCAGCATTTCTCAGGAGAGGATACCAGTTATTTTCTTTCTTATGCGGCCCCCCCCTCCAGTCCTCTCTCTCTTCACCCGCGACACTGTTTGTTAATTACGTGTGACTATTGCAGGCCTTTGACAGTGGCCACAATCATCACTGATACTTAGATGTGCCGTTTTAAAAACCAGATGCCGCTTACTAATCTCATTTGCTCGCTCCTGTGAAGCAGAAAACTATTCCTACTTCCACAGAAGAGGAAATTAAAGTAATTTGACAGAGGTCACACAGGTAACTAGACACTGTACTAGGTAGGACCAGAGCCCAGGTCAGACTTAAGGTTCAGTCCTGTAGGCTTACCAGCATTTCACCCAGTCTTTTATAACACGGGCAAAACAAAAGTAGACAGGAGAGAACACTGCACTTTTTAATTGTAATGAGGGCACAGCTTGGGAGACCGAGGTGGGTAAGTGGCATTTTACCCTTAAGAAAGTGTTTTGTTTTTGTTTTTTAAGATTTTATTTATTTGACAGAGAGAGAGAGCGAGAGAAAGAGAGAGAGAGAGCACAAGCAGGGGGAGTGACAGGCAGAGGCAGAGGGAGAAGCAGGCTCCCCGCTGAGCAGGGAGCCCCATGCGATGCGGGGCTGGGATCATGACCCGAGCTGAAGGCAGACATCCAACCGACTGAGCCACCCAGGCGCCCCACGAAAGTGGTTTTAAGGATTTTTTTTTTTTTTTTTTTTACAGCCTGGATTAACCCTTTATCTAACCAAGCATGCAAGAAGAAAAAGTTCACTTTAAGCAAAAGCTGTCAGAATTAGTTCGTTTTCACAGCCATTGTCAAAAATATTTTTGAGTTCATGGTTTGGAGAAGCGTTCGAGTTGGTGGGATTCGGCGCAGAGCTACCCATCTTCCCTCGCAGCGCCCGTCCCTGGACTGGAGTTGCCGTCCTGGGGACCCCTCGTGCGTCAGCTCCTCCCGCCGCCCGCAGCCCCCACTCGACCGCCGGCGGCTGAGCGCCAGGACAGCGCGGGCGGAGGCGCGGCGGGCGGGC